TTAGGTGTTGAAGAATCCAGAAGATTAGGATTTGAGAGAACACAAAGAATAAATGCACCGGCGCCATCACCAACGATTTTGAGCCATGTCATCATCATCTCGCGGACCCCAACCAGGTAGTCGACAACTACCGACATGACTCATTCCACTTGTCATTGACTTCATGGATCGCTACCATGTTTTGGTTTGGCCACCCCTAACTTTCTTCCAACCTACTCCTACACCACAAAACAAAGCTCTTCGATGCAGTCGGTGATTAGGCATACGCAACACATGTCCCAACCACCTCAACCGATGAAGTTTCAGCGAAAACATGGAGAAACAAAAATACAAAATTAGAAACTTTTCCCAGTGAGTTTTGGGGATCTAACGTACCCAACAATTCGGTGGTATTCACGATCACAAGCGAACATTCCAACAAACTGTGTCACTGAATATCATATAAAAAAAATATAACCTAATGATGTATTAAGTAAGCATTCGAATAAAGCGAACGATCTAGCATAAATTCTTACTGAAACCATTGAAAAATTAATCTATATTATTGAATTTGTTTATACTTGGTAAAATTTCACAATGCAATCTAGACTGATTCGGTCAGTGAGTCAGTCAGCTATAATGTAGGACTTGGTTCGTATGTACTACATCAGTTCCAGTTGCGCCACATACTACAGAGAGATGGCAATTATCAATTCAAATCTCACTGCAATAGAGCTAGCTGGTAGGTAGAAGTACTAGCAGTAATCGAAAAGATTAAGTTTTGAAGATGTGTTATTCAAGGAGTATATAAATCTAGTGAAATAAATTTGTGAAGAGGAAGATAAAGGTGATGAGGAATTTTTAGAAGATTAGAATTCCACATAACACAAAGAATGGATGCATCTGCGTCATTGCAAATGATTGTGAGCCATGTCACTCAACATCTTTGGTTACTATCATCTGGTGGACAGTTACTAACATGGCTCAATCCGGTTGTCACTGACTTCATGGATTTCTGTCATGTTTTGAGATTTGGCTGTTCTTAGCTTTCTTTCAGCTTAACCCTTCCTTCACCAGGCATCAACGCTTGTCGAGGCAGTCGGTGTTTGCGGCATACGTAATACATGTTACAACTACCTTAAATGATGAAGATTTACTAGTGCATAAATCGATTTGCCATCCTTAGATAGTACCTTTTTCCTAACAACTGCATTGCTTACTATTAGTAGTCATGGAGAAGATTAAATATTTTGGGGCACAGTTTTGGAGGTTTGTGTTTTTACACATTTGAAATCATCAATCAATCATTGTTAGACCACCATCAGAGAAACCTGGAAGCACTGGACGGCCGTTTCGTCCTGGTATGGGACTCATCAGCAGTGCGCATCCACGACTCCTTCCCCCGCAGGATTCGAAACCGGGACCTTCGGCATTGTAAGCGAACGCCTTATCATTGGACCACTGGGCCGGCGTCCAACGGTGTTAATGTCTAACGCTGATTGATCTAGGGATTTTGCGCGTGAGGAAATTCTCGGAGTTCTAGGTTGAGAAGACGTGACCAATGGATGTCAGCCCTCTCGGGTGTAGGCAGTGACTACCGAAGACAAACAGGTGAGGTCTCGCAAAATCCCTAGAGTTAGACAGTAACCTCGTTGGATGCCGGCTCAGTGGTCCGATGGTAAGGCGTTCGCCTACAATGCCAAAGCTCTCGGATTCGAATCCTGCGAGATTACAGTTTGAAGATATGAGTACATTCAACCCATTATAAATTTAAATTTATAAATAGCATATTTTAAAAATAAAAACATTTCTACAAATAATTTACAATCATTACAATTTAATAATAAACTTTCTAAAATCATAAAAGAGTGTTAATTTTAAATACGATAATAAACAGGTTATTACTATGATTATTCCAATGAACCTTATTAGTATGAGTTAGAAACAAAGCATAAATGTACAAATACTATCACAAGTCGACAACACCACTGCCCAGAGAGAAATGTTACTGACTGCGTTTTCTTCATTGGATTGTTTTATACGAAACTCAGAGGAAGTAAAGCAAACGTTCATGACTTAAACTGAGTCGGTAGGTATAAAAGATTCCTAACCAAAGGAAATTAATTAAAAATTCTGATTCCAAACGAATTTTTGGTGTACATGAACACCAAGACCCTAAGGGAATAAATGACGTACAAATTTATTCTCAGTCACTGTCTACCATGAGACTACATATCTTAACAGTTGCTCTACTGTCTTGTTAATGAAAAGATACATGAAAGTCGAGTGCTTGGGGAGTGATCCCGTTGAAAAATCACCAGCTTCAGTTTGAGCATCTAGGCAGTTATCCTCCTATTCCTAGTTTACTCACAAAAAGAATGATTTGTGTGACGCATAAATAATTTTAGTTTCTTTGTACTGATATAATAATCAGGAAAACATAAGCAAGTAAACAAACAATACAGCACAAAACGATCAGTCAATTAACAACAACGTAGAACTTTGTGCGTACGTACATCTGTTCAAGTTGCCATACCACATTAGCACAGAGATGTTAGTGTTTCATTGTAGTAGACGTAGTAAAAGTATTTGCAGTAATTGGAGAGATAATGGTTCGAAGATATTATTATTTAAAGAAGTAGAATTTAGTGAAATAAACTTAAAAAGAAAAAGATAAAGGTGATGAGCAATTCAGATGATTCGAATTTGAGAGAACACAAAGAATGAATTCACCTGCACTCTTACAAATGGTTTTAAGCCATGTCATTCAGGATCTCTATCTAACCATCGATAACTATCATCTCGCGGGCCCCAACCAGTTAGTCTACACAGACCAACATCGATTTGTGCCATGTTCTGGTTTGGCCGCCCCTAGCTTTCTTACACCACTTACACCACAAAATATCATTCATCATGGCAGTCAGTAGTTGGGCCCAAAGGTTAGGATTCGAGAGAGAACACAACAAGTGGATATGTACCTGAGCCATTGCAAACGATTTCATTATTCACCGTCTCTAACACAAAACACAGCACAACACAGCACAACTTACACAACTCATCGATTTCATTGAAGTAAATATACGCCAATCTTTATCTTGTTCCACATTGATGATACTAGATGGATGGGCATTGTTGTTATTGAATGAATTTTCATGATTAATTAAACTGGACGGTTCTTCACCATCCGACACTTCCATGTTATCCTCTTCTTCTTCTTCTTCTCTGTCTTCTGCTTGTTCAGCATTCACATCAGTATTATTAACATTCTTGTGATCAACAATAATATGAGCCGGTTTATTGACGACTGACTTATTATTATTATTAGGAAATTCATCAATGACAGAGTGTTTATGATGTGGTATACTTGCACTGGTACATGTGGCATACATTGATTGATGCGTAGTAGTTTTAGGCAGATTGTAATCATGATTATTATTCATATTAACAGTAATAGGAATATCATGTGAATTTGTCTTAGGATCAATATTAGTATTATTATTATTAATATTAATCAGTGTTGAATCGGATAATTTTGAAGATGAAATGGTTTCTGATCTATATGAGGTAAGAGAGAAATATATACATATATATATAAATATAAGTGTATATTGGTAAAATTGTAATCTATATAAGGTTGAAAGTGAATTTACTGTCTGAATTATTCAACCTACTAGATATAACAAAGAGATACATTCTGAGGACTCGATACTAAATGCCTTAGTATATCCGAGAGTGCGATGAGTCCTGGTCTTTCATATGACCAAGCGTATATAACCAATGAGAGGAAAGTCCTACTCACCACCTTCTTGTGGTAAGAGTTTTGTATGCGAAATCGAGAGGAACTAAAGCGAATGTTCTGCACTTCCCAACTGAGTCAGCAGGCATGGAGGATCCGCCTAAAGGGGTTTACCGCCAAACTTCAGTCAACCTGAATGGCGGCAAGTTGATGTAAGTCCTGCAACTCTAAATGTGGTTGACGAGGCTAGAGACAATTTAAGGCGAGCGAGAGTAACAATTAAGGATAGAATAACTCTCGAGATTTATAAAAATCTTAAGTACAGTATGGGAACTGGACATAATCCCATTTCACTATTCTCAATCACTGATTGTCCCAGTCGATAGGAAAGCACAAAAGCCTTCTTGGGACAATCACAGAGGAATCAGTCTAACGAATGTGGTGTCCAAAATACTAGCTTGAGTAATATTTCGACTTATAACTAGAGCACATGAAGAGTAGACTCGGAAAAGCCAGGCTGGTTTCAGACATGGACGTGGGTGTGCAGACCAGATATTCACACTACGTTAGGTTCTAGAACATGGACACATATTCAGACGTCTCACAAATGTAGTTTCCCCTCACATTAAAGCAGTTGATCGTGAGGTTTTATGAAGTAGCAAAGAAGCACATTGACCTAATAAACACTCTCTACTCGAACACTACTGACCAAGTCAGAGATCACGGCGAACTGTCATCTGAATTGTGTACGTCGAATCGTGTCTGCCAGAGTTGTCCATTGTCGTGAACTTTATCACTCATACGCTATTGCAGACAACACTTTCATCGTCTGACTTTTCAGGAGTTGACCTTACACCAGAACACTCGCTTGTTTGTTTGCAATGGCGCAGATGCATCCACTGTTTGTCTTCTCTCGAATTCCAATCTTTCGACCATTTATTGTCTTTTTAAATTAATTTCACTGGTATATCGTTTTCGAATATCTTCGGGCCCTAATTTTTTCCCATTACCGCTAATGCTGCTACAATGTCTAGTATTATGGCATTCGAAACGACCGCTGCCTCTCTGTGCTAACGTAGTAACGCAACTTTAACTGATCTACCTGTGTACTACTACACTTAACGTTACAGCTGACTGACTGATACTAATAATAGAACCACTTAACGGTTATTTTGTCCTAGTTTGAAACTGCCCAGCAGTGCGCATCCCTGATTCTCCAAGTGCAGGACAAAATGCCCTTAGTCTATCATTTCCAGATTTCTAATGGCGAGATCTGGCTAAGATAAGTTCGTCATTTCAACTATGAAAAAATTGCCAATTTTTACTGGTTGTGGAAACTTGGAGAACTATGAAAGGCATCATCCAAAAGATACAAGTGTTTATGAACAGTTGTCTACGCAAAATACTTCGAGTCTGTTGGCCAGACACGATCATCAACAACGTACTGTGGGAGAGAACAAACCAGATTCCAGTGGAGGAGGAAATCAGGAAGAAGAGGTGGAAGTGGATAGGACACACACTACGAAAAGCACCTAACTGCGTCACGAGACAAGCCCTCACATGAAACCCTCAGGAAAAAAGGAAAAGAGGAAGGCCAAGGAACACATTACGCCGAGAAATAGAGAAAGATATGAGAGGAATGAACAAACATTGGACAGAACTGGAAAGCGAAGCCCAGGACAGAGTTGGTTGGAGAAAACTGGTGGGCTCCATTGGGGGTTAAAAGGCGTAAGTAAGTAAGTAAGTAAGTTATGTAACATACAATGTTTACGAAAGAATAAACCCCCACCCACCCACAGACATCCGTCCACCTGATTTTAGATTAACTCATCCTTAGTCGAATAAAAAAAATTCACAAAAACGATCATTGTACAATTCAACAATTACCTGAACTGATTATTATTATTATCATTATTATTATTAGCCAATTTCGATAATGACGGATTGAGTAATACTCGATAATCCACATCACCGGATTCATCATAAACCGGTTGAAATATAGGAAAACCAAATGGTGTTTGTGCCAGCAATTGATTTCGATCAGTTGTTACATTGTTTGTGATTAGTTTCGGAGAACTCTTATCATTAATATTATTAGTCATTGGTGATTGACTATGAGTGATTTTGTTTTTAGTGACTATTGATTTTTCAATGTTGTTGTTGTTGTCGTTATTACCGATATTTCTATTGCTGACACTACCACCACCAATTCCTCCTCCTTCGTTATGCTCATCATCGTAGCCACCGCCAACATTACCGACGTCGTCATCATCATCATCATCATCATGATGAGCAAATCCGTCATTGAAATCTTCATAATATTCATCAGTTGAATAAGTTGATGATTCATTTAAAGCATTCTCTTTATTGTATGTTGTGGATTGTTTAGGATGATCCAGTTGACTTGTACTACTACTCGTATTAGTAGTAGTATTAATAGTAGATCCAGTTGGTGATGATGACGGTGCATGATCTTTATGAATCAAATCATGCAATTGAGAAAGTGTCTTTGTAACACGTTTACCATATGTTCCATAGGCCTAGAAAAAACGAAGGAAAAATTCAGAACAAGACAGAATAGGGAAAATAATTGAGTACAAGAACTAGACCGTGATAATATTTGCAATCATTGTACTGAAATCATGAATCAATCATGGTTAGACCATCATTAGATACTTGGAAGCACTAACACACGGCCGTTTTGATAAGGTATGGGACTCATCAGTGGCAGTGCACATCCACGACTACTGAAGACAAATGGATGAGGTCGTACAAAATCCCTAGACTAATCAGAGTTAGACATTAACACCGTTGGATGCCGACCAAGTGTTTAGAGGTTTGCACACAAGATCGTAGGTCTTCGGTTTGGATTCTGTGAGTAGCAGGAGTTGTGGATGTGCAATGCCACTGATGAGTCCTATAACATAACGAAGTGACTGTGTTTCAGTGCTTCCAGGTTTCTGATGGTGGTCTAACAATGATTGATTGGTGATTTCAATGAGTAAAAACAATGATCTCTATAACTCTAATTGTAAAATTATAATACTGCCTATCTTAATAGAAGGTGGATTGTATCACGTTAGCCAGTACAAATTTGTGTACTAGGATTTCAACAATTGTTCTTAGTTCTGCATAGTGTTGGTTAAATCAAAGTAGTAGGTAGAGTAGAGTTTGTAATTAGCTTTAGCTTTTCTATCAAATGAACTCTTTTATTAAATGTACGGTGTGAATTATTTTCTGAAGTATGTTACTTAAAAGGTTGGATATACATAGCATGCGCTAGAGCCGAAGATACAAGCGTCACTAAACCAAGAAAACAGTCGGTCAGTCAGTCAGCTGCAACGTAGAACATCGTACGTACATAAGTTCGTGTTGCCATACCACATTAGCACAGAGACGCAAATGTCAAATCAAATCCCATAGTGATAAAGATAGTAGAGGCATTAATGGTAATGAAGAAGACTAGGGTTTGAAGATATTATTCAAGAAGTATAATTCAGTGAGATAAGGTTAGAAAGACAAAGGTAGAGGTGCTGACGAATCCAGAAGATTAGGATTTGAGAGAGCTCAAAGAATGGATGCACTTGCGCCATTGCAAACGATTTTGAGCCATGTCATTCAAGGTCTCTAACCATCGGTCAATATCGTCTCGCGGACCCCAACCAGGTAGCCTACCAACCTGACTCAGTTCACTTGTAAGTCACTTCATGGATTTGTGCCTTGTTTCGGTTTGGTCACCCCTAGCTTTCTTCCAACCTACTCCTACACCACAAAACATCGCTCGTCGAGGCAGTCGGTGAAGTTTCAATACTTCATCTATTGATTCGCCATCCCTACCTAGTATTCGTTTCCTAACTAAAGCATTGCTTACTCGGCTGTCCCAGGATGAATTTGCAATGTTTCTGTAATCGAAATACGTTAGTATCATTGTTACGTTAGGATTAAAGACAGACAGATAAAACACAGAAATTCGTACGTTAGTACATCGGTTCAGGTTGCCATGCCCCATCAGCACAAAGACGCAACTGTCAGTTCAAATCCAACAGTGATAGCAATAATAGAAGTATTAGCAGTAATGGAAAAGATTAGGGAGCGAAGATATGATTTGAGAAGTATAATTCAGTAAGATAACTGTAGAAGGAGAAAGATAGAGATTATGAGGAATCCAGAAGGTTAGAATTACAGAGAACACAAAGAGTGGATGCACTCGTCCTTTGGTGAGCGTACGGATATCACACCTACGCCATAAGTGACGCGAATCGACAAAAGCCAATCGAGCCTTCTGTATTCGTGCTGAGATTTCGTCAAAAACCAGGCCATCAGCGTTGATGAGACTCCCCAGATAAGTGAAGCGGTCTACACGTTCGATTACTTCACTCCCTATCACTAGTTCAGGTGCCGATGAAACCCAATCCTGAAGCAACATTTTGCATTTCGAGGGGGAAAACCGCATCCCGAACATGCTTGCATTGTTGCTTAGGGTAGTCAGAAGACTCTGCATTTTGTCAGCGTCTTCACCAAGTAGGACTATGTCATCGGCATATTCTAAGTCAATATGCGAGGCACCTGGTAGAAGGTCTACTCCTGCAAATTTAGACGAGGATAACAGGCGAAAGTAAGTAAGTAAGTACACCTTTTATGCGCTTAAAGCTTTGAACTAAAAGCTAGTAAATACCATGATATCTGACCGAATGAATGTAGACACACACACACACACACACACACACAGAGACATGTGATGTTCAAATATTGAGCCACTAAAGACACTATTCATTATTTTTTAAAATTAATCAAACTCATTGAAATCAAATTAATACAACAACAACAACAATATACTTACATTGACAACCACAGCAACTTCTTTCAATTGTACATTATAATAAATTTCTGCACTTTCTAATACATTTTGCAATATATTCATATGTTCTAATTGTTCTTCATATTTTTTATACATAAATTCTAAATGTTTACAACATTTTTCAACCTGATGATCATTAGATATAGTTTTTTTTTGAAAAAAAGAAAAAAAGAAGAAGTTTATGATAATGAAATAACAATAGTGTTATTGTAGTTAATAATAAAAGCTTACTTACTTACTTACTTACGCCTTTTAACCCCCAATGGAGCATAGGCCGCCCACCAGTTTTCTCCAACCAACTCTGTCCTGGGCTTCCCTCTCCAATTCTGTCCAATTTTTGTTCATTCCTCTCATATCTTTCTCTATTTCTCGGCATAGTGTGTTCCTTGACCTTCCTCTTTTCCTTTTGCCTTGAGGCTTCAATGTGAGGGCTTGTCTTGTGAAGCAGTTTGATGCTTTTCGTAGTGTGTGTCCTATCCACTTCCACCTCTTCTTCCTGATTTCCTCCTCCACTAGAATCTGGTTTGTTTCTCTCCCAGTTACTAGGTTGTTACTGATGGTGTCTGGTCAACGAATCAGAAGTATTTTGCGTAGACAACTGTTGTTAATAAACACTTGTATCATTTGGATGATGCCTTTCGTAGTTCTCCATTTTTCCGCTCCATACAACAGAACTGTCTTGACATTTGTATTGAAAATCCTGATTTTGGTGTTGATTGAAAGTTTTTTGGAGTTCCAGATATTTTTCAATTGTAAAAATGCAGCCCTTGCTTTGCCAATCCGCGCCCCCACATCTGCATCGGATCTACCTTGATTGTCGATGATGCTGCGCAGATATGTAAAGGTGTTAATGTCCTTCAAGGCATCTCCATCAAGGCTTAATATAAAATGTCGTTAACAGTAAGTAGTACAGTGGATTTGCGTTTAGTCCCGATTGGGACTGGTCTTTTATTTTGGCTAGATGTATGGGGTAATTTTTAAATCTCAGAGTTGATGTTCATGTTAAAACTTGAACCTAGCATTCATTGTTTTGATGAAAATGCCATCTGTTGGGCAACGGATATGAGATTTGATTCAGAAAGACAAAATTCGCGTCCTGGATAACGCTGCTAGCTAGCTACACATTCTGTCGATTCTATGTAAACTTGTGTGTGTGTGTGTGACGAAATCTCAGCACGGATACAGAGGGCTCGCGATTGGCTTTTGTCAACTTGTGTCATTTATAGCGTAGGCGAGATATATCCATCTACTAACTAAAGGATAAGTCTACCGATCAGCAATTCGCTCCGTCCTAATTCATGGCTACGAAACATGGACAGTTAGAGTAGCGGATATTCGTGGTTTACTTGTAGTCGATCACAGGTGTCTGCGAAGCATTGCTCGTATATCCTGGGACTATCGAGTAAGCAATGCTGGGGGGGTTAGGAGAAGGGTACTAGGTGACGATGGCAGATAAACTGATGCGGTACTGAATATTTATCAGATGAGATAGTTTTGATATGTGATACGCATGACAACCAACGACTGCGTAGATGGGCGACGTTTTGTGGTGTAGGAGTTTTTTGGAAGAAACCTGGGGGAGGTCAGATCGAAACATGGCAGAAATTCATGAAGTCACTGACAAATGGATTGAGTCATTTTGATCGGTGTAGGCTACCTGGTTGGGGACCGCGAGATGATAGTTGCCGATGGTTAGAGACACCGAATGACATGGCTCAAAATCGTTTGCAATGGCGCAGGCGCATTTATTCTTTGCGTTCTCTCAAATCCTAAACCTCTGGATTCTTCATCACCTTTATCTTTCTAAGTTTGTTTCACTAAATTATACTTCTTGAATCATATCTTCGAATCGTAATCTCTCCGATTACTGCTAATACTTCTACTACCTCTACTACTATGAGATTTGAAATGACAATCTCATCTGTGTGTATTAATGTGGTATGGCAACTTGAACTGATGTAGGTACGTACGGAGTTCGACTTTGTAGCAGACTGATCGAACTTGTTGTCGTGGCTATATCTAGGGAAATCTGCACAGGATAGTCATATGTCAGCCAAAAACTCATCAATTTACAGTTCAAAATAACAGCAACAGGATACTCGAAACTATTTCTAATTGAAATTATAAAGAGCTAAATATTTTTACAACAGTAAATTATTACACTTTTTCGGCTACAGATCAATTGTTTGTTTGTTTGTAAAGAAATTTAACATTAATTAAAAATTTAACCAATATTCCAGTGGTCACTTTTAGATTTAAGCATGATGGGCAAAGATACACATTTGAAGTAGTCATAAATCAGTGCAAGATCTAGTAAAAACATGTCATAATCGGAATTTCCATTAACAACAAGCACATCAGCATAATGATGCAGCACCACAGATCGTAATTGGTACATTGAGTAGGACAACTCCTTCTGAAGCCGCCCTTCTACGGTTATTGCCGATCCCGAACCCGGATAAAAGAGGGAGGGTTAGGCATAGGGGTTAGCGACCCCATCCCGTAGATATCCAGCTCCATTGTCCATTACTAAACTAGATAAGATGAAGTTTAGAAATACGATAATGAACATATTTAATAATGTATCCAATGTAACTAGCTACATAGAAGCATTTAAACTGGCAAATGAATGCAAAAGAGGCAGGTCCAGGAAGTGTGTCCTTAGTCCCAGTCCTAATAATCAGTTGGTTGTACAAGTTAGCTGCAGTGCACGTTATTCTTACCCATCATGTTAATAATTATATAACACTGTCGTCTGCGAGTTACGATCTTAGGAACACAGACTTATTAGCATATGTGGTTATTTTTGAATTTTCCCCAACTTGGGAGTCTTATGTCTGATGTATAAGTGTTAATGTCTCTTCGAAGCATAGTTGGAGTGGAACTATCAAGTAAACAAAATCAATGTGGCATAACGATTGAAACAGTAGTTCATAGCAGTATTAAGAAAATTCACTGTGAACTGCATAAACCTGCTTCTAAGCACACCATATCATTAATTATTAGATGAGAACATGTAAAAATACACTATCGACATATCATTATTTTACATTTATTAGTTATACTACTATGATAAAACTACAGTAGTAAAGTAGTATACTGAGAAGAGAAGTGACCTGAAATTTACAGAAAATTCATGGTGGATGTCTGAAAGAACGATATACAGTAATAATAATTGGTTCTAGTGAACAATAACACATGTACGGGTAACAAAACAGCCATGTATGATAATATATGACCGTAAAACTGATTACTTGGATTTTCAAGACAGGTTTGAAACTTGTTTTCAAGATTTAATAAAGTATTATTTATCCATACACAATAATATTTGTGTGTGTGAGCCACTGAGGCAGTATGCTCATATATGTTTATCATCAGAAATCAAAGTTTCACCTTTTTATTTCTTGACTCATTATGTTTTTGTTATAATTCTCTCTTTATTACATACAACCCAGCTATTCCTAATGCTTAGTATTCTCGGACACCAATTCACTCCAGACGACCTCACAAATCAGAACAGTTGAACAGGGTAGAGATTATATTCCAAAAAGCAAGGTTAAATGGATGTAAGAAGTGAAGAAGAACAAGAACAACGTTAGTATATTTATACTTTTCACATGAGAAGCTTCTAGAATGTTCTCCAAATATCGACTAGCGCTGATTGGATGAGAATTAGCCAATCAGCGTGCAGCAACGCAAATCATGGATGGATGATGATTCATGATTTTACGATTGCAACATACAAAAAAACGTATTTAAGTTAGTGTGCATTACGTTGGCGCATTGTTCCTCACTTTTACAAAGATAAACAGTTTCATAAGTCGTGAGATTGTTCACTGAGAGGATTGGTTATTAAATAATAATCAGTTGTACTCCTGTAATCATCAGTGTTTGTTAAAATCAATGAATCAATTATAACGAATCCAATAGGTTGACTAATAAAATAGAATGCTGCACTAAAGCAACTTATAACCCTACTTGATATCCCTAAATTGAGCTGTTCAGTGATATGAAGATTGTAGTCAATCTTTGAAACAGTGATTTATTTTAAATAAGCACTATAAAAAAAAATTTCCAGTTCATAAATACACCCTGCCAACAAGACATTGGCTTAATGGTTGGGATATTCAGTCAGTCAGTCAGTCAGTCAGTCACTTACAACGTAAAACTTCGTACGTACGTACATAAGTTCATGTTACCATACCACATTAGCACAGAGGCGTAACTGTCAGTTCAAACCCAATAGTGGTAGAGATTGCAGAAAAATTAGCAGAAAAGGCGAAGATTAGGGTTCGAATAAGTTATTCAACAAGTGTAATTCAGTGAGATAACTTTAAAAAGAGAAAGTTAGAGGTGATAAGGAATTCAGAAGACTAGAATTTCATAGAACACAAAGAGTAGAAGATGCACCTGCGCAATTGCAAACGATTTTCAGCCATGTCACTCAAGGTCTCTAACCATCGGTTACTATCGTCTCACGAAAATCCGACCAGGTAGTCTACACTTACCAACATGACTCAGTCCACTTGTCAGTGACTTCATGGATTTGTGCCATGTTTTGGTTTGGTCGCCCCTAACTTTCTTCCAACCTACTCCTACACCACAAAACATTACTCATTGAGGCAGTCGGCGGTTGGGCATACGTAACACACATATCCCAACCACCTCAACTGATGAAATTTCAATACTTCATCAATTGATCGGCCATCCCTACCTAGAACTCGTTTCCTAACAAAAGTATTACTTACTCAATTAGGATATTCAACTCAAAGTGGATAAGATAACAGCTTCAATGTTCGACTCAAAGCCTAAATGAACACAAAGAATGAATACCACTGGTTTTGTGTCATGTTTCCCTACGATATCTATCAGTGTAATTGTGTAATTCTCAAAACCTATATTCACACACAAAGAGAGACATATAGTATTCGCGTACACATATATAAACATGAAGATTATATAGTACAGAGTATTACTTAATACAATTATAAGAAAATAATAATACAGTCAATCATCTTACTTGACTTGTTAATGATCGACTTTCTTCTTTACTTTTCAGTGAACTAACAATTGATGGGATTGATGTACCAAAAGCCAATGGGCTAAGATCAATTTTTCCATGGGATTCACAAATTTCATCTAATTGTTTTACTTTGCGTAATGTATCAAGTAGTTTTTCAGGCTATTTTTGTAAACACATACACAGAGAGAGAGAGAGAAGAAAACATGTTCAGATTTGAATGAATGCAAAGAATATTATCTTGAAATAATAAACAATCAATCAGAAAGCATAGCTAGTGACGCTGGATGATGGAGATTCAAATTCTACGGAGATAGTATGCGCTTCCAAAGATTTCAACCATACATTTATGTCAATTATCATCTATTACGAAATGCAGATTTAATGTTGCCTGACGACGATCACCTTCAACCTACATTTACTGAATAACTTATGCCTGCTACCCCCCCCCCAATATAACATAGGCCGCTGACCAGCATTCTCCAACCTACACTGTCCGCAGCCCTTGTTTCTAGTTCTGTCCAACTGTTGTCTATTCTTTTCATATCTGCCTCCATTTCTCGGCGTAATGAGTTCGTTGGCCTTGAGGACGCCAGGTGAGGGTTTGTCTTGTGACGCAGTTGAACGGTTTCCTCAATTTTTGTCCTATCCACTTCCAGCGCTTCTTCATGACTTATTCCTCCGCTGCAATCTGGTTCGTTCTCACCTACAGTAGTTTGTTACTGTGAGTGTTTGGTAAACGAATCCAAAGTATTTTGTATAAACTTAATTATGTACTTATGTACGAAGTTCTGCGTTGTATCTGTCTGTCTGTCTATTTTGTATAAACTGCTGTTAATAAATACTTGTATCTTTTGGATGATGGCTTTCGTAGCTCTCCAAGTTTCCGCCCCATATGATAGAACTGTCTTGACATTGATATGAAAATTCTGACTTTGATGTCGGTCGGCAGATGTTCTTCGATTGGAGAAATGCTATCCTTACTTTGCCGATTCGCGTCTCCACATCTGCATCAGATCTACCTTGCTAGTCAATGATGCTGCAAAGAAATGTATAGGTTCTAACGTAATTCAAGGCATCCTCGTCAAGAGTGATTTAGTTAGTGCATTTTATTTATGTCTAATCAGAGAATCTTGCTTTTCCCGCTGTGCATGTTGAGACCTACTGCTGCTGAGGCTGCTGCTACACTGGTCGTCTTCTCTTGAATTTGTTTTTGCGTGTGTGATAGAAAAGCCAGATCATCTGTGAAGTGCAGATAGTCCAGCTGCATCCCCCCCATATATTAATTTCTTCATAATCCATTCGATCACCAGGAGAAGAAGAAAGGGTGAGAGTAAGCAACCTTGCCGGAAACCAGTCTCATCATCAACTAGATGACAGTAAAGCAGTGTATAAGATCACAAGTCATTTAGATAACAGGTATATTGTAACTTGTTTGACCGAACTTGGAGAAATTTGACATTAATTAACTATTCGAGGATTAATTATTGCAACGAAACATAATTTTTAGGGTGTGGAAGTTAATAAATACTAGAGTAGGTTGAAGATAATTCGACTGATTCTGTAGAATAAGCTGAGAAAAAAATACCTATAGCTTAAAAAGTAGGTACTACATCTAACTACCAACTTTTTTTTAACGTGCTGTTGATTTGGTGTAACTTGATCAATAGAACGTAACCGTCATTAACGAACTAGACAAACATAACATTAGTTTACTTTCAATCAGTGACCAATCAGTGTGAAAAACCTCCCTGGTTTACATCATTAAGGAATCCAACAGTGTAATTTGCAAAGAGGACATCATAAACTGTTGGGGACGTTTGATCCCCAGAACTCCTCCCATTCCTGTCGCCAAATGATATGTTCGTCTACTGATATGCTTGTAACTATTACGAGCTCACCTTACTCTATGAAAGAGAGCGAAGACAATTGATACAGTGAAACAAGAGGCTATTCTGATCCGTTTGTCGCAGGCCCCGCTAACTCTAACAAGAAGTCATGATATGGCATAGAAACTGTATTCTACTACAAGCACCCAGTTTTCTATTCGCATCAGAAAAAGCACTTATACATGCACCCGTACGCCGACCCCAGCAGGAAAGAAGAACAGCCAGATAGAAAAAGAGGCCCTTGCTCTTGTGTTTGCTGTTCGCAATTTCCACAGGTCTCTCTACGGCCGGAGATTCACGCTCCTCACAGATCACAAGCCTCCGCTAGCAATATTTGGTTCTTAATCTGGCGTTCCAGCACATTCTGCAAATCGTCTTCATCGATGAACCTAGGTGCTTTTGGGGTATGATTTCGAAATCCGATATCGACGCACTCTACAATTCGGTCCGGCAGACATTTTGTCACAACTTATTAATGATCAAGTGGCAGCTGAGGGAAACATGGTAATCACATCTCTGTCAGAGGAAGACCACACGGAATGTTATCTGACAACCGCAATACGGGCATTACCGGTGTCTGCAACAGACACACAAAATGCTTCAAGAAACGATCCCATCATCAAGATGTCGATGAAAAATGTCACCAACGGTTGGCCGTGGATTTGGCCCATGGAGTTGGCTAAAAGCCTTCTCCAGTTCACGTCGCTTCATTCGTTTTGTTCACTGCTTCTCCACTTCGCTTTGTGGTGTGTCCTGAATAAACGTAGTCATCACTACGAGTTCATGTTCTGATTTATAAACGGAGCTTAAGAACACGCCGTAAACCGACACACTCCAGCATCTTGCCGATGCATCAAGACCACCAATCAAGGCAATTTGAGTGATAAACACAATGAACTCAAGTAGATTACGTCACCACATATAATAGGTAAAAGTACAAGTGGATAGTAGGAAGACGGGTGTACTGACAGTAGTAAGAAAATTTTAAAATATGATAACTAACGTTTTATCAATAGTAGGTAAAAGGCGGATGAATAGACTTCAAATAATCATTTAAAAAGAACATCAAAACCATTACTTAATAACCAGATGTGTTGAAAATAATGAATACAAAAAATAATGTCAATCGTTGGTTACGTGACATCCGGCCGCGGAAGAGATAGGGGTGTCACGAATTTCTTCTGAACACATAAATTGCGGTTGAATGTACGTATTCCTATGGCTTCTGCTATGTGTAGGAGACGGGATGGAACTCCGTTGGGAAATGATGGAGGTATACGATAGATCACCCGAACAGATCTAGATTTATCTACAATGTGACCACTATCTACCAGGTGTGCTAAGATAGAGCTGCGTATTGTTTTTGACTGACCCTTCGTAAACCATGCGTGCGATGTTCACTCATTCGTTGGGTAAGTTGCCTGGAAGTACGCCCGATATAGCTTTCTCCACAAGAGCAGCTGAATTTGTAAATGCACATAGAGGAGGTCAACTCAGTTAACTTATCCGTGGTTTGAGTAGACTGCTACAGTCAGTACACCTGCCTTCCTAATATCCACTTGTACTTTTGCCCATTTTATATGTAGTGACGCAATCTACTTCAGTTCATTGCGATTATCACTCAAATTGCCTTGATTGGCTTAACATTTTCATATGAATATTTATGTATATTGGAGTGAAGCCTGATAACGATCTAATAGAAAACAATATTGTTCGCTTATATGTGTTGTTCTAATTTTCATAAACAACTGCCAACTGACAAGAATTGGGCAATCGAGTTTCTAAATATCCACTAAATGAACTTTATCAAACACCTAGCTTCGTATAAAATGAACAAGAATCGACCGACAGTAATCATAGTTATAAACAGAACTTCGTGGAAATATATTGGTTATTGAAATTGATTGCTGAGTCGAAATTATACTTGATCGCTTCGCGATATTAGTTTACGTGACATATGGAAGAGGCTATGTATTGTGTTCGACCATATTAGAGAAGCATCCTCAAAATGGATAGACAGGTAAGACACCACTACCATCAAGGTGTATGTTCTGTGAAATATAAGGCTGTAGATATAATTTTTGCGCTCCATAGGCCTTCCCTTGTCGAGGTGTATGCTGCAATTGACAATCTCTTGGGTGATTGTTTTGAAACCGTAAAGTCCTCCATTGTTGATTGTGCTGATTTGACGTGTCCTCGCTGACTCTCTTCCATCTACGGGAAACAATCCACTTTCGGGATACTTTATCACCTCCGAAGTTGTCCCCATTCATTGACTGACAATCTAAAAACATTCTCGGGCGAACAGAACCATTCCAAGTCAGAAGCATTGTGCGGTAGGTCTAGCTGCCTCACTCAACTGCTCTTTTTCTAGTTGCTTCGGCAGCATACATACACCCACTCACTCACAAACACAGTACTTGTGGACAAGTTACTGGATACACGCAAAGTTACTTACTAACACGGTCAAAGGTATGGTTGCAATTTTTGAGTACTTTCAGGCTCTATTCCTTGTAGTTACATTATATACTACGAAATTTCTTCTTTACTAAATCCTTTTTTTGTGTATCTGGTATTCTAATTATCTCGGTCTTCACCTCCTAATCTCCCTGGTATCATGTTATGTAATAAGGTCGCTAGTACACATTATACTATAACAACCAGGAAAACCTGTAGGAGCGTAAACCCAGTTGTTGATAGTGTGTTGAAAATCCCAATATCGTGCGAACTGGTTGTTAAAAAACCCAAACAGTCAGTCGATAGTATGCCTCTCAGTGTTCATACTTTAGATCACTCAATGGAAACACCACAGAGGAAGCAAGACACCACTCCTATTCCTAAAACGACCAATAAGCTCGTTAAGAATAGGAGAAAAAGACGTTCCAAGGCTCAGTCGACACAGTCCAACGTCCAGCAACAGCATAGGATGACTGTTTCGCCTGCTCATTGTCAGTCAAAATCAGCAACCATGCTTTCGAACGCAACTCCTGTAGTACATGGGTACATTGTCACTGCGATACTACAGTACCGAAAGAGTACCACGGGTTCATGCTGAGCCACCCCTGACCATGGTTCTGGTATATTTTCCTTCAGTGTTGAGTATCTGAGGCATTGACAAAGCCACAGGTCCCACCCAAAATCAGCCCTAAAGTCCAAACGACCAAATCGAAATCGCCTAGCACTAAACCAATAAAACAAGTGACCAAGGTTACCACAACCCTGCCTAACACACCGACAAGACTGCCAGTTGTTGTTAACCCCCCACTATCTGTTAGCAATAAAAAATAGTGGGTGAACGTGAAGAATGGAAATAGCAACACCTCAACTCAAACTCACTTATTTTATTTAATATCCCAGTATCGGAAGAAAGCTTGCTAGAAGGTAGGGCTGCCTTTGACAAAGAACAGTGGGATGAACACTGCACAACCCTAGGAATGTGCAAAGTCTCAGCCAAAGTATGCCGCCTTATCAAAGGCCGAAATGTCTGGAAAGGAAAACCTCTTCCAGTGAGGGTAACTCATGACTCGGCACGACTTTCTGAAGACCAAAGACCATCGGTCAAATTGTCCTCGCCGATTCGCATCAGGCATAACAAGCCGTGGTCGGTACGTGCAGCAGCCAGAACTAAGCCAGGCACCCAAGAACAGACCACCATGGTAGTTCACGGTGTACCCGAACTCATCAGCGGTAACCAGGACGAAGCTCACGAGCACAATGTGCAACAGTGGCGATGGCTATCGCGTAGCCTATCCCTTCACACCACGATGGCTGTTTGCATTTCCAGGTTGCTCCTCCCGTCACACCTTACGTCCATCAAGTCACCACGCCTGATGGCTGTGACATTTAGGAACCGGGAAGACATGACTGAAACACCCCAAGCTTGGTACAGTTCGAGGAACCATCTGTCTAGCCAAATCAGGTGTTGCGAAAGCCGACCTAGACCTGTGAGACAACAGCAGGGAGGCCAAAATGAACGCACAATACTGATATTTAACCTCAGTCAACTACCCCTGGCACAAGACACGATTGAACCAACCTCGCAGGCAAAAAACCTGCAGAGGCCAGTTCCCATAGAACTAGGAGATTAGGTTTGAATAACTTGTTTGAAAACCCGACAACGGCTGCTGCTGCAGAAGTTCACCGAGTGCCTCTATAGCAACGTAAGAGGACTAAGGGGTAAGCTGTTAGAAATCAGTAATATGTGCTCTCAGGTGGATCTGAAGATCATAATCCTAACTGAAACATGGCTATCCCCTGACATTGCAGACGCGGAAGTGAGCTTGCCAGGCATGACAGTCTTCCGAAGCGATAGGGAACACCAAACTGGAGGTGGGGTGGCTATATATATAAATAGCCACTTCACTACCAAGTAAGCGAGCAGCTTCAAACATTTGAATGTAGCAGTTGAGTGATGTGAGAAAAGCACATTTGAATTTATCGGACTGTTTGTAGATTATTTTTCTAATCGAAGAAATAATTATGAAATAAATTCATCAATGTAGGTTGACAACGAAACTGCTATTCCCTTTTGGATGATAACACTTCTGAATTAGATATTCTTAATGCACATCATATTTGATCTTTGAATCGTTGGTCATCCGATAACTAAGTGTTTTGTACTGAGATTGTAGAAATATTATATAATATAATATAATAATATTATAGGCTTATTAAGTTATGTCCATTATGTCGGCGGCACCTAATCTAGTAAGTAATAGGGAGTGAAGCATTTGAGTGTGTTGACCGCTTCACTTATCTTGGGAGTCTCATCTGTGCCGATGTCCTGGTGACTAACGAAATCTCAGCACGGATACAGAAGGCTCGATTGGCTTTTGCCAACTTGTGTCACTTATGGCGTAGACAAGTTATCCGTCTGCAATCAAAGGACGAATCAACTGCGCAGCATTTCGATACATCCTACTTTATGGCTGCAAGATATGGCCGGAAAGAGTGGAATACATTCCTAGGCTGTTAGTAATCGATAATGAGTGTCTTCGAAGCATTGCTTGTTTATTTTCAGAATACTGAGTAGGCAATGCCTACGTAAGGAAACGGGGTACTAAGTAATATTTTACTAGGAAGTATAATGGGCATATCTACCTCCCGTCTTTGATCAACCTCAGAATACAACAATAAATCCATACATACTACATGGACGCACAGGCGATCAGCATATTTTAAATTGATAAGGTGATGTTCGTTGAAGTATGTGAAAACAGATTGTTTTCGCTCATCGATCATATGCTTGTCAGCTGGTACATATGAGATTCAGTGTTCAGTGAAACGTCTAGAATACACAGTGCCTAGAGCAGTGTAATGAGAGTAAATTCAAGAGAGACACACTTTATCAACATTGTGAAACTTGTCAGTCTCAACACGTATTCTTTCTAAACGATTAGCCGATTGTGAGCTACATCGGAAAACATAAGATCTTGAAAAGTAAGCATATATTATACTTCCTAGCAGAATATAAAGCAATAATAATAGTGATAGTAATAAGTGACAAGTTTAAAATGCAACAGTGCTAATAAATTTGTAAATAAATCGGCAAAGTCGTGCTAAAAGAATATCGATCGAAATGATGTTACACTGAATTCAGTATGACAACAAATGACTCAGAATATGACTATAATGATGGCCACAGTAACTAAATTCTTCCCCCTCATCGAAATCGCAATAATGTCGATGAGTATTGAAGATGTGGAAGTCGTACGGAATCAATGGTCAAGTGAAACAATGAGTTCCCTGCAAAACCAAGATAGCAAGAACATTGAAGTGGATTGATAAACATCATCTCAATCATTCTGTTCATAACCTAGTGATGATGAATATGAACTGTATCAATCGGACAAGAACATTCATAACTAGGCCGAAAATGAATATCTACAGAAAATCAATCAAAGTAGTAATTGCACAAATAACTAACAATACTAATAATGATTTTGTAAGAAAGAATTCTAGCGTAATTGAAGGCAGAAACAACAGGAAATAAGTCGTCCGAAATAAATCATAATGTATTATTCATTATAAACGAATGCAGATGATGTGAAGAAATATGACCGTTGTCGGAGTAGTGGTAGTGTATGTTGTGACTTTGATGTGGTGATTTAGTGAGTGTGTGTTTTGCGGTGAAAGCAAAGAATCTGATGAAGTTGCGCGAGGAAGAGAAATGCGAGCGAGTGTTTAGTGCAGAGAATAGTGGTGCTGGTGATTTGAACAAGGTGATTTTGTGCGGTTGCGAGTGTGGAGATGGTATGGTGTGAGGGAATGAGTGGGTGATCGATTGGTTGGTTTGATGTGTTGTGTTGTGTTATGTTGTGTAGTGTTGATGTGTGAATGAGTGTAGTAGTTGTCATGTGAATTTTGTGTGAAGCCTAGTAGTGATATTGTCTTGTGTTTTTGTTTCAGCGCGTTCATATTTGGGAGGAGTGAATGAGAAGTTGAGATCTGGTGTGCCAGTGTGGTTTGAGATGAAGATGTGTGGAGTTGTGCGGAGCAGTTTGAGGTGAGTATTTGTAGTGTGCAGTGTACAGTATAGTGCTGCTGTTGCTGCGGTTGTTGTTGCTGTTGTCGGTGTTGATTTGACTTTGATATTTGTTGATGATGATGATGATTATGGTATTACCGCGCCAATCTGAGATTTGACTGGATAGTGCTGAGGTGATATCTGAAGACGGTGTTGTATTTGTGGTGTTGTATTGCGAGTGTGTGGTGCTGGTCAGTCGGTATGTATGTTAGTATTTTTTGGTTTGTATTTGTGGGTGTGTGGTGGTTTTGCTGCTAGTGCTGCTGGTACTGGGGAGATTATGTTTGTTGGACTTGTTTGTGTTGTATGTGACGGTGGCGGTTTTCAGCTAAAGTGCTCACTGTGTTCATTCTCTACTTGAACAACGTGAAATCAAGTCAGTGATTTTGTGGTGATCCTGTGTGGTTGTTTTGGATATGCAGTATACATAGTTTGCACGAGTGTTTCATAATAATAAACGTACTCGTGTAGTATGTGTACTCAAATTAATGTACAATTTTCTACAAGAGGACATTTTATTGTTTGTACGAATATGATGAACTCACAGGCCTTTTATGAAGCCTTCTGAAAATGTAATCAATCCATTTTACATATGCTTTTCGACCTTGTTAACCATTCACTCAGTGATTTTGTTATGTTACGTCCAATTGTTTGCTCCTTTCTCCTTAGAAGTACTGTGTGTCGATCTATTTGCAATTCACGAATCCAAATTTATTTCAAAACCAAACTCCAAAGTAGGTACCAAAGTTTATTCTTAATTCACAATAATCGACCAAAATGTCGTTCGTTTACTACAAATAGACGACCAATGTCGTTCTAACAACAATAATTATAATAATTACAATTACCTTCAATTTTATAGATTCCTGGAGCAAAATACTGCAAACGAACAAACCAAGACAAACAGGAGTCAAAAATGGCCAAAAATAATAATTCAAACAAGTTCATAAGTTAAGTAAAACAAATATACCCAAAAAACACAGTGAAATTAATGATATTTACATAGAGGTTTTAATCAACCAAATGTCTTCATTTCTCCCGTAACACAAGCCTTTTTTGAAGCCTTCTGAAAATGTAATCAACCCATTTTACATATGCTTTTCGACCTTGTTAACCATTCACTCAGTGATTTTGTATTTGGTCACAAGGTCAATCTTCATAAATGTTTTGAAAACTCTGACAATTGTTTAATTTGAATCAAGTTACTTATTAGTAGTAGTACAATTCATTCGATGAAAAAATTCTCAAGTAGGATTACTTATGCTCCGTTTAAATTTGTTTGATAGAGAATAATGTGAGAGCTTTTTCAAAGGTTTATTTTGTAATGGAATTAATCACTGATATCCATTAACGCCTTGAAACCGAATGTGTAGTGCCTCCACATATACTCCAGTTCGCTTACATCTAACTTGGTCAAACCCTTTCGATCAATTTATTTAGCCAAGCCATTTGTATAGCAACAATTTATTTGTACCATTCGTTCTTATTATTGTCTGGTTTGTATGAGGAGCTCACATGACATGTCCCACTTGTCATTTGACCTTGTCAACTATTCGTCGCTTTTATTCATGTGTGCCTATTTCGCTTGTCGCATGTCTGCCTTATTTTTGTCTGACTATAAATTCTTCGTCATGCTCTATTTCTTTGAGTTGGCTCTTGGCCTTCTCCAAAGTGCTTCGCCTGTTCATCCGCTTCTTTCGCCCATTCGTTCGCATTGTAATCCTAGGAGTTGGCTCATTAGCCTTCTCCAATTCACGTCGTTTCGTACGCTTTGTTTGCCGCTCTTCAACTTCGCTTTGTGGTATGTCCAAAAATAAACGTATTCATTACTTCGAATTCATTTTCTGATTTATAACCGTCAGACGATACTTGGTAACGATTGTCTAGACGAGCTACTTACCGAGCTTTAGAAGACGCAGATATTTGACCACCACAAATGTATACCAAACGGCGGAACAACTGATAAACTAATCAACTTGTTTTGATTGGTTAAACATTTTCATCTAAATATTCATGTATATTAGAGTAAAGCCTGATCACGATCTAATCGAAAACAATATTCTTCACTTATATGTGTTGTTCTAATTCTCACAATGGGAATCTTTAATATTGTTTTATATAGCAATATTCGACATAAATATTTACAATCAGTCAGTTGATTTTCTTCAGTTATAGATTGTGAAGGCCATTTATATATCCATCAAGTTATATTTTAGAATCCAATGTTCAGAGATCATTTTTCCGCTGTAGTTGAAACTTTTACAAGGATTTTAAATAATATTAAATCTATAGTGAAATAATGTATTAAACTGGAAAATTTCTTTGCTTTGCTTCCAGTTTTTGTAAAAATAAGTGAACTACTTCTATGTAGGCAAAAAATGATACCGCAATTTGACAAACCTCTCTAAACCTGTATATCACTAAATTTAATTGCAGTCACATCATCGAGTACACTGTCAGGATGTTCATCAAACATACTAGGAGAATTATTTTGTAAGCCTAATTCTACTGGTCAATTCCTATTGTTTAATTCCTGATGGCCGTCCTAACTAACAATGTCACGTACTTCAAATGTTGTTTCCTGTTCGGTCTCATTGGATAAATATGAATTGTCTGTAACGTTTTATGATCCCAATCCTTAGTCCGGCATCCGTATTATCTTCGGACTCGTACCTCGATTTTCTGGGTACTTGTAAAATAGACTTTCTGTGTTGTAGCAAGACTTCTTCTTCGACCTTCTTGCGACGCTCGAATTAGATAAGCCTGTCGTGTCACCTGATCATCGATCCTCGCTTTCGTTTACCGACTAAGGTGAACCAGTTATAGTTCAAGCCTATCAGCTGATGTGGTAAATCTGTATCGTAACAGTGAATATCAGTGATCTCCTTCAAACTCTATAAGTTTATTTGATTGTTCATTCAGAATTCAGTTTATATTTGTTGACTAACAAACGATTTGTCAGTATAGGATTGCAGAGATTGTTGGATGGCATTGAAATCACGCACTGATTAGGTTAGATCACCATTTCATACTCAAAAGAACAGCGTCGTTCAACACCTCCAGAATTCTAACGGTGGTCTAAAATTGATCAGTTTATAATTTCCTATCTGACTTAATATCTTAGGTTTCCTTGTGGTTTAAATTCATATAGAATATCAAAGTAAAAACTTGGAATGATGCAAATTTTTGTGAACGTTGATGTAATCCTAACCCTAACACTTTGGCAACAACTCGTCACTATTTAATACGCGTTATCGATGTTTGAAGCTAGTTATGAACGAAGACGATGATTTTCTTACGCACGTCGGCATCGTCAACCGTGAATGCGAACGCTTTCAGTAGTAGTCTTTGTCTTAAGACCAATTTAACGATGTGGTGTTTGAATGAACTAGTAACTTCTTGTTATTTTGGAATGCTTGATTTCGAATTCTAAATACAATACATTCGTTTGTGCATACCTTTAATTCTTGATTCATATACTTCTAAGCATCACAGTGGCGTCGCGATGGAACTTGTAATGGAACAGCTAGATATTCATTCTACTTCTGAAGCTTTTGAAGATTATTTGGAAAGGTTTGAAATCTGGAGTATGACCAGGAAAGATGTCAAAGATGAT